ATTGCGCATTAGAAAAGGTCAAACTAACAGCAAAACAGACTTAGAAGAAAGTCGTTGCATCCGAAATATGTAAGTAGCACAAAATCACAATTCTCACCGATGATCCTTGAAAGTAAAAAAAAAAAACTAAGCTGAAAACTGTTAACTTCTCAAGAATTTCGAAACAATAAAATAATGGAAAAGTAGGTGAAGTGATTTTCATAACGTCATTTGACCTTTGCGCTGCACCATTTCTGTTGTCCTGTTCATTTGACCTTTACTAATTGATCTTCTGCTCGTAAATGATAATTTTTACAACAAATTTTACTGAAGAATGTAAAATCTTCCTTTTTCTTTCGAAAGCATGTATCTTAGTAAACGAAGCTGAAAAATCAACAAAAAGGAAAAAACAAAACAAAATAATGAAATGAAAAGTATAGACACGCCCTCGTCCTTGAAAAGGTCACTGGAATAGGATAGCAGCATTAATGAAAAATCTCTTTGTGCAAAGTCCTTGCAGGGTAAATATTTAAGGTCTTAGAAAAATTCAATGAAAATACATAAGCGAAAAAGTGTTTGCAATTGTTTCTTATTTACAAAAATCCTTAACCAGGTAGCTGACTTCTATACTTCTCTATTCTTGTTGCTGTTTTTTGTTCATTTATGTTGATCCTTCTTAAGCAATCCTTCTTTACTACTTACTAAAATTTTTAGGATCCTGTTATTTTAGTTTTCGCGATAATGAAGTATTACTTTATAATTCGTAGAAGAAAACCGAAAAGTTTCAGAATCTAGGGAATTTACATTATTTATTTATCTGTAAAATAATTTTAAAGCAATTTTTAGGCCTCTTAAATTAATTAACAACATTTATTCGAGAGTAATATCGGATACCAGTACACGGTTAAAATTTTCGGTTTTAATTTTAAACTTTTTGGACTACATATATGACCAAAGTAAATGCAGTTTCAAAAACAAACATTCCAAATATTTATAATTTTTTTATGAAAATATAACTTACTATATGAAAAACATGTAAATCAAAATTTCAAAATTCGTAAAACATTTATAAAAATTCAACAAATTTTAATAAATGTTCACCACAATTTGAAACATTTTAATTAGTATCATAAAGTGCACGTGGGAAGAAGCCTGGACTTACCGTTGATTATCGACAAAAAAAAATGTGTATGGAAGAAAATGAGCAATACCTTCCACAAAATTTACCAAATGTCAACGGTAAGTCCTAGCTACTTAAAATTTCCACTTTGAATTGAATAGGTTAAAAAACTGCATACTCAGAATGTTTCTAAAGCTGGGATCCCACGATTGCCGCAATACACCAATTATTGCCTAATTTTATGCCCCAATCGTGTGATTTCACAATACATTGACTCATGCGGCAATAGAAGCCGATATTGTGCTTACTGTGCCCAATCAAATAAGGCCCGTGTGCGGCAATCGTGTGATAGCTCGATTGGCAATCATGGGACAATGAAAATTTCAAAATTGCGGCAATATTTATTGTATTCTTGTGCGGCAATTGAAGTGAACAATACACATCAATATTTAGGCTGTTTATTAATAATTTACTTTTTTGCTTCCTTATGTGTCCAAAAATCACTGAAATTAATATGCTTGTGTCGGAAGCAACATAACTTTTAATTTAATTTGTAGTGAAATTATAATTTTTCTTTACTCATAAAACTCATACGAGAAGAATACGAAAGGTATTTTATGTCACCAAATGGCGGACTGCCATGACAGTATAAATTTATTGAAAAAAAACTTAAAAGTTCAATACAGCCCACGACAAAGCAGTAGAACCTCAACATTTTGACCAGTCTTGACTATTTTTCTTCTACTTATTTAATCTTCATTATTTTCGTATAAAAGTATAGCTTATTGTCTAACAAAAACTGCATAAATCCAAATTGCAAGCTTTATACAAAAATTATAAAAATTTCTTAAACTTTTGAACACAATCGCACGGTTTATAATTTGGATTTCTAGAAAAAAATGGTTATTTAGTTTTGTAGCTCATTAAAATTTAGTACAATAAGGTGGAGGTTTGAAGTTGCTAAAAGATCCTGTTGATTTTTTATAATTTTTTTAGCTGACGGTATTATGCACTTTCTTCTCTGTAAATTACTTTGTAAACTGCAAAACAAAATTTTTTCTAGAAACCCAAATTAAAAACCATTGAATTGCGATCAAAATTTTAGGAAATGTTTATAATTTTTGTATAATGTTTGGAATTTGGACTTATGTGGTTTTTACTACACAATGAGCTATGGTTTTATAGGAAAAAATTAACCTTAAACAACAGAAGAAAAAAGTCAAGACTGATCAAAATGTTAAGGTGCTATCTTTTGTTGCGAGCTGTACATATAATTATAAAATTTAATTCCAAACATAAATTATGTAAATTCGCAGCTTTCATTTAAACAAACATAACTCTTTTGCATCAATTTTACTTGTAATGAATAACAAAACCTCTACGTAACAAAATTAAAAAGAAAACTGTTGCAACTTGAACTC